GACTGGTTCTGATCCCCCTCTACATGCTAGAGGAAATGTCAGGCCTGCTCTGTTTCAGTTTCCTTTCTTTGACTTTACTCCTAATTTTCCCACCTCTTGGTACTTTCCCTTTTAGAGGCATGTAAAATTAGGAAAACTCTAGACTGTTCCAACTAGGTGAAGCCCTTAGAAAATGAATGTTGGTTAGTGCTGAAGACAGGGAAGTCATTTTAGAAAAAGGATACATACCCCATCTCTGGGTCAGATGAAACAAAGAGTAATTATGCCCGTCCAGGAGGACACATATAAAAGCCATGCCCCAGCTTAGTGTTCTGGGCAGGTCTTCTTCGGGAGGCTAAACCTGAGACACAGTGGAGAGAAACAACTTCTGGGTGACACCAGAAGGAGCTATCCTCAAATGCAGCACACTTATGGGACCAAAACACATTTCTTGAGAGGGAGGATCTCCAATCTTTTCTCCTAGGTCTAGCCATCATTTAGGTGCATAAAAGATAAGTTGTAGAGTTTAAAACCTTTACTGTAAAGTGGAAGGTAATCTTGTTCAGGCTTTTAACTATCCCTTATGGAACTTGGATAAACAGTGGTTACTTTGGCAGCTAGTAAATGCTCTTAGAGCAGCTGCCACTCTTTTAAGCAGAGGACCGGTTTTCCCAGCCATTCTTTGGTGAATCCCCATTGAAACCTATAGCTGATGGAATGTTGACCAGAGAAACTGCTGGATTCCTTTTTGGAGACATCTCTGGTTATGTGGGCCAAGAGAAACTGAGAATACCTGAGCAGTTATGGCCATACTCAAAGGTTCCTTGGTGAAAATTTGCTCCTGACCATTGTTCTTTCTTCCTTTCTTTCTGCTAGTAAACTACAAATTCTACCTGAGCTTTTCAATAGAACAACTTAATGAGTTACTATTTCAGAAATTAGACTGAGGCAGCTTGCAATAGTTTACACTCTACAATGGCTATTAGGAGTAATGATTTACATCTGCACCTTACATGTTCATGAGTAAAAAAAGAGATTTTGGGGTTTTTTATATTTATTTTTTTTATTGAGAAATAAATATGAATGAGACAGTTTCACAGCTGATTAATAGGACAGTTTTGAAAAAAAGAGATTTTTGTTAGCCTTAAAGTGTTTTTACCAACATGTAAAATGTGACGCTAGATGATAAATGTAAGTTTCACCTGTGAGCTTCAAATTTAAATCTTATCCAGTTACTGAAAATGTTTAGCTAGGCAATTAGATGGAAAACAAATGTTTAGAGACTTGGCTTAGTGCACGGGGCCAAATCCCTCCAGTCAATTGTTCTATCTCTGGAAGAGACCTTTGTAGCCTAAAAAGTGCTTACTTCAAATTGACCTTTTATGCCATAGTTATGCTTTCTTCTGCAGATATTCTGATCACCAGACCAATTGTAACTTACAAATAGTCAATAAGAGTAAGTGAAGTGTTTGTGAGATATTTTAGGAGATAGGAATCATGTGCCAGTTTGAGGGTGGAGAGGCTGGTGCAATCTTGTCTCCCTTCTCTCCAACAGGAGCATCTACCTGCTCTGGAGAGGGCTAAAGGGATGCATGGGTGGAGGAATCAGTTAGAAAGAAGGTGGGGATGCCCAGAAAGGTAATTTCTATTGAATTCCAGGTTATCTCACAGTCAAAGTCTCTTACTTCTTAAGAGTGCTTCATTAGGCACCAGAAGACATTTCATCCTTACATGCTGAAAAAGGGCCATTTAATCAACATGAAATGCAGAGGAAAGTACCAATTATGATGCTATTTTGTAACTAGAAAATGATATAAAAAGGAAAAAGGTAAAAATGTCTTATGTTCAGATTTCATTTCCATTAAGGTTATTGTTGTTTAAGTTTTAAAATGTAGATATAAGCAACAGGAGAACTAGGCAGTTCGGCCTCACCCACCATTACTAAAACTAAGGTTTCCCCTATTTGCCTTTCTAAAAGGTGGGCTTCTAGAACAGCTAAATTCCAGGCCTCTACTGGGCTACACCCATCCTCAGCTGGGTTTTTACAAGCTCCTCAAGGGCACTACCCTTTAAAGAAAGAGACACGTTGGAACTTCCAGAGTTCATGGGCCTTAGATGACCCAGATAAGTACATTGATGTCTTTAGACAATTTTCTCAGACTTATGAACCAGATTGAAAAGATGTAATTTTTATTTTAAACCAAGTTTTGACTTCTGTGGAAATACAGGTAGCATTACAAGCAGCTGTTGCATTTGGAGAGGAATATTATATTGTTAATTTTAAAAAGTCAAAAGACAGACAACAAGTGAAACTCTGTTCCCACTGGAGCCTGAGCAGTCAGACCCCTGCTGGCCTAATAGCCAGGCAAGAGGCTAGAAAAGACATTTTCTTTCACGTGTTTATTCCTGAAGGTTTAAAAAGAACTAAAACCAAGCTTCTTAGTTATTTTAAATTTTAGCTACTTACTAGGAGAAAGATGAACACCTTTGATTTCTTGTAATGTTTTAGAAGCATCAGTAAGACATATTTTCTTAGATGCTAATTAAATAGAGGAACAGATTACCTTTATAGATAAGTTCAAGAGCTACAAAAGACAGCTTTTGCTCCAGACAACTTATTTGATACTTTAGTAAAAACTGTTTAAGTGTCCTATAATTGGAACTGGGAGAAAACCAGGGAGAGAAAGCAAAGAGATAAAAAATGGCTGCCTTTGTTGCGGCCTCAAAAGAGACCCTAAGTCTGATTCTCTTGACTCTAAGAAGAGCTCAATGATGATGAGGTTTATCTGCTACTGCTGTCAGAAGCCAGGTCAGCATAAGAGGGACTGCCTTAAGAGGCCCACAAGCCATGCTCTGACTGCCAAAGGAGCCACTAAAAGTAGACTGCACTCTGAGGCAGATGCTCCAGAGCTCAGTCTCAGCTTCCCAAATGGTCCAGTAAGACTAACAGGCCCTGGGCCTGCCTCTTCCCTCTGGCCAGACTATTATCTCTACCTGCCATCTCCTTGGAAGAGCCTTGAGTAATCAGGACTAAAGGAAAAAAAAATCCAGCCAATTGTTGGACATTGGCACAGGTCTCTCTGTCCTTCTCCAACCCTGACTTTTCTTCCAGTCATTGTACCCCAATACAAACAGACTTTAGAAGACATCTTGCTTTAGCTGTAACTGAGATACTACAATATATTCAGGTTGCTAACTAATCAAAATGATGCTGAGCCTGATTTTTTACAAGTGTAATATATATTGCTGTTCATGTACAAGACTTAAGAGGTATTTCACTAGTTAAAACAGGTTACCACAGCATGCTTTGATTATGTATGTTCTAATCTCTGAAAAATTTGTTCTTTCCTAGAAGATACCAAAATCTAGGTAATCACACAGGTAAAATCTATAACAAATATGCTAGACTGAGATTCCTTTTACTGGGATCCACCAGATTTTGTTTATAGAGACACATATTAAGGCCTTCCCTAACTGTCCACTTCATATAGCTCAGGTAAGCTGAGCCTTCTCTGAGTTTCCTGCCTCATTACAAGAGAAGTTGCTCTCGCTTTCCTTGGGCAGGGATGCCTGTAGGAGGCCTTAAAGCTAAAAAGTTATACGTTGCTCAGTGAGCCCCAGATATCTGACACAGAAGTTAGAAGGGTTTGCAGGAATGAATTGGTCTTAGTTGTTAGAAATTTCTCAGAAAATATTTGATAGTAGAAAGAATACAGAATGGAATTATAGCCAGGAAATGAGAATAGTGATACTAGCAGCCTGCAGAAATGAAGGCTAGTCAGGAAACAGAGAAAATGTTATGCTGCCTTGGATCCAGACAGAGAGAAGGGACATTTCAAGGAAAAATGTCCAAAGCTGAAAGGGAAGGAAAAAAAAAATGTTCATTATGGAATCAGGAAAGTTCCAGATTGATAAGATCATGAATCTTTACCTCTCATCCTATTGGAACTCATGTTAACTGCCAATATAAGAAAAAGCCTATTAGACTTTTAATAGATGCTCATGCAGATGTGTGGGTAGTTACTCAGCCAGTGGCCCCACTTGCCAACTAGAAAGTACTCAGTGTTTTCCCCAAGTCTGACACAAGATAAAAAAAAAAAGTTATTACATTCCAGCTCTGCTAAGTGAGTACTGGGTCCTGTGGATATTATTATTTGGCATACATGTTTA